CGCGAGGCTTGGCGAGTTCTCGGCGAATTAGAAACGGAACCAGATTTCGTTTTGACGATATACCGTCGTTCCTCTCCGATCACGATAAATATTATTTGCATGAAGCAAAAATAATTTACCTTGAGCGTGCGCGTGTGTGCGTGCGAGCGCGTGCTTGCGTGTGCGTGTGTGTATGTGTGCGCGCGTATGCATGGTTATGAATGCAATCGATATTTTGGCAAAGGTCAGGTCGTTAGGACGCGCGAAACACGACACAGAACGCGGCGAAGCACGCTAGCTTATTCACAGCGTCAACAAGTTGCTCAATACCACACATACAAACAAACACACACACACACACACACACACACACACACACACACACACACACACACACACACACACGCGCGCGCACATACACACACACATACACACACACACACGCGCGCGCGCACTCACACACACACATGCACACACATACAAACAAACACACACACACACACACACACATACAAACAAACACACACACACACACCACAACATCAACACACACAGCACACATGCACGGAAATCACATTTGATGCGATTTTATAGAGTGATATCAAGAATATACGAAAGAATCGGGTTGTCGAAGCGTATCCTAACAACTCACCGTGATGTTGCGGACAGAGCATCCGAATTCATATCCGAGATAGAGCAATGCATAGCTAGAAAGGGGGGGAGTAAAGGACACATAAATTGCCTTATAGTTCACTCTACGATCTTACGTATCAACTGCCATTACAATAGTCGGTAACAGTCGATCCCGATATGTATGGACTAGATGACAACTCGTTATCTAATCCGATCTACCCGTGAACCGAGCGGCATTGGAGAGATCTGGCTTTTTCTTTACCTAACGCTTCATGCTTTACTGCTACGATCTTGTACGTACATTCGTAATTGACCTGGCAGCGGAATATTAAGGATGGCGGTGTAATTATTTACCTGAAAGCTACATGGGCAGTCAACAACAATATGTGATTATATATATAGATATATAATATAATATATATATATATATATTATATACACATTTATTTATATATATGTGCATGTAACGTGATAGCAAGCCCAAGTTCAATCCCAAAAAAGAGATCTAAGGTAAACCTATCTGGGAAGGTGATTTGAGCGCAGAGACGGCACGGTACGGTTAGCAACGGTACGATGAAACAACGGATATTGTAAGCACATTATATTAAACGAACTACTCCCTATCAACGCTTATCGGAACTCCTTCTTAACGCCTTCACGAAATCGAATTAAAATCGAACTAGTCGTTTTTCTATATAATATGGAAGCGAAAAGTTTTGATCACATAATAATATTATAATAATCCACCTAGCCGCTTTTACATTATATAATTTGCGTTCTCGTCTGCGTTTAATTTACCTGGGATATGTCTATCCCGATAAATCTTCATCAGGTCTTATACGCCGTACTACTATTCCACGCTAGCTATATATATATATATATATAGTAATTCCGTCTAAATTCACTTGACTTACTTTGGTGGCTGATGTGTACCGACACGCGCCCGTCATCACCGTAACTAGCTCATATAGGGACGGTAATTCGCTAGCTCCGTGTTAATGCAATTACAGGCTCGCGCAGCATGTTGATACTCCCAGCAGCCTAACGTAGGTTTGATGTAGTAGGAACGGGGACGCACTAAAATTTCCTGGCAAATCACTGAACGTAAATACTCGGTCGACTGAAAAAATTAGCAGATAGACAGCAGTATTTAGTCAGACAACAGTCCAGGCGAGAAAGGGGTGAGGTGCGTTATATCACACAGCCAGAGAAAACCTAGTGACCGCCACTGTTTAATCAGGACCTCATGCAATATTTATAGCAATCAGTAACATAAGACCGCACACTGCCGAGTATTCCAGAAGAGTGGAATTTAGCTCTGTGACCGACATTGCGATGTGTTCACCATCGTTTTGATGCACGGCCAGGCGCGTGGTGAACAGAGAGATATTCTTGTGAATTTATTTTGAGACTAAAATAAAATAATTATGTCATCACAATATTATTTGGTTTATGTTATCACGATATTATTTGGTTCTAAGGCTTGGCAACGAGTACAGAATTTCACTGCATGTCCGAAATTAAATATGAACGAGTCGAGGTTTCGTACGTAAACCACAGAGAACATGTATACTATAGCAACGTTTAAAAAAATCATAACTGTACTGTTCGATTTATTAGTTATAAGGTGTCGTCTTTTCTTATACTGTAGCATCAGGGGCTTGCATCTGAAAACTGTGTCCATACGTGCGCTGTACATCGCTCTTTAAATTAACAAAACCTTGTTACGTTAAATACTTAACCCTATTAAATTACTCAAACCATTGGGCTAATCTAGGTGAGCATCTTCCCCTTAAAGAGTTCTAGTCACATTGCACAATTAATTAACTAGAATATTCTGGGTTGATTCATACTATAGCCTAGGGAAGCAGTGCGTTAATAGTTTAAAACACATCACTTCAGTTGTGACATAAAGTTACCAACAGTAAGAGCGTAAAGTAAACCGTACTTTTTGATTAGTACAGTACCTTTCGTCAGCCGACGAGCTGTTCATGCATATAACCTAGAGCTAATAATACCTAATAAGGTATTATTAGCTCTTGATGTATAGCTCTTAAGAAAACGCTATCCGCGGGGTGTCTCGGATAGCGTAGGCGTAATTCGACGTTTGTTACGGTAAGCTGCGGCCTCGCTACACATCACTGCTGAACGGCGTCTCTGTGACATTTACAGCTGAACAGCGACGACGACGCGGAACCATGACTCTGCCTCTAGGAGAGACGAGGCTAAGCAAGATATACGACTACTTCAAGCAGTACAGAGAGTCGCGCAAGTTGATACTAGTGATTGTCTTCGTTGCAATACTGCTCGACAACATGTTGCTAACAACAGTCGGTAAGTCTAGCATCTTCTGGGACTATTAGCGCGCGCCTGTAAAGTCGTAATAGAGGCACTTACGTACACGGACTACGTCATGCGCGAGAACGCGAGCGCTCACTCACTCGCTCATTCGAAATATTGCTGGCGCCGAGTGTTCGGGTGTCTGGTACGCGGTTTGTGTGAGTGAGTGAGTGAGTGAGTGAGTGAGTGTGTCTGTGTGTGTGTGTGTGTGTGTGTGTGTGTGTGTGCGCGTGTGCGTGTGTGTGTGTGCGTGCGCGTGTGCGTGTGTGAGTATGTGTGTGTGTGTGTGTGTGTGTGTGTGTGTGTGTGTGTGTGTGTGTGTGTGTGTGTGT